CCACCACACACACACACACACACACACACACACACACACACACAATAACCTTGTGACCCCCCGCCCCCTCCCCACATAACTCCTTTTTGGGTCAGGACCCCTACAATTACAACACCCAGCAATTTCAGATTTAAATAGCTGAAATCATGAAATTTACTATTTTAAAAATCCTATGACCGTGAAATTGACCAATATGGACCGTGAATTTGGTAGGGTCCTAGCTATAAAATATGTGTATATCCAGTCTTGCCTCACAGTGCTCTCGCTTAACACATTACTTCTATTTAAAGCTCCTTGATACTGGCACCCTTCTATATTCAAGTCCAATATAAGATCCCTTTTTTTATTATGAATCTCACTATTTTTATCCCACCTACAATTAGCTACGAGGTTTCAGTCTTTGATCTCTGATATGGACTGCACTATAGCAAGGAACTGTACTTGAGAGTAGCTTTGTAAACCACTTGAAAGCTTTGGCTAGAGAAAACATTAATTCACTTGCCTACCGAAACAAAGGAACTGCCTCAATAGATCAAACCAGTGATCCACCTGACCCAGTACCCTCTCCCTGACACTGACTAGCACCAGATGCTTCAAAGGAATGTGCAAAAAATCTGAGAATGGATAATTATGGAATAACTGCTCACAGGAGTTTTTTCCTAATCCCTGTCAGTTAGAAGTTGATTTATGCTCTGAAGTATGAGGGTTTGAATCTCTTATAAATGGTGGAGACCATTACCTATTTAAAGCTGACTGTTTGAATTGTCGGTAAGCAAATATTTGAGTTCAGAACATTTCACATCATTTCATCTATAACAACAGTAGAATTGACATAGACAAGCGTCAGTCTGATCAGCAGTGCAGATATCGACAAGAATCCATCTGATTTAGGCAAGAGTCATTCTGCTATAGATGAGAGTTAGTCTGATGAACAATGCTGATACACAGAGAGCAATCAGCCCTTTGTATTTACAGGTCAGATTTTTCCTCAGATTGAGTAAGTGAGGGCTGGGATTACTTAAAAATGTGCATTTATTCTGAAACCGGGTACTCAAACCTTGTATTTGACAGAATACAAGAAGAAAAGAAAATCTAAACTCAGGGCAGGTCTACACTTAAAACGTTGCATCGACACAGCTGCGCGCCGCTGTAGCGTTCAAGTGAAGACGCTCTTAGGTCTTCCGTTGGCAGAGCTAATCCAACTCCCTGAGAGACAGTAGCTGTATCGACAGGAGAAGCTTTTCTTTCAACATAGCACTGTCTACACGGGGTGGCGGGTGGTTGGTTATTATAACTATGTCGCTCAGGAGTGTGGATTTTTCACACCCCTGAGCGATGTAGTTATACAGATATAAGTCTGTAGTGTAGACCTGGCCTCTGTATGGAAAACAGAGATGACAGTAAAATGAAGAAAACGGAAAACAGGAAAGAAAGGCAAGGAGATGGGAAAAGAAGGGGTGAAGGAAAGAGGGAGCAGAGAAGAATATGGCAAAAGAACAAAGGCAGGGAGAGAGATTTGCTTTGACTGACAGAATCTGCATCCATCCATTAAAGGATGTGAATGTAGAACAGAGAATGCAGGGGAGAACCTTGCAGACTGCAAATTAATGTGGAAACTATTCACAACAAGCCGGTCTAGACACTAATAATGGTTACTACGCTTCGCTACCTAAAGGAGTAAGAGTCAATATCACAAACACACAGAGCAGCTTTCCTTTCTTCCCTGCGGCACAGATCTCCATTGTGTACTTGTTCGGTATGTGCAGTTTCCACTGGGATCACTGACGAATATATAGCAGAGATGGAATGCACATGGAAAATTGGAGCAGCGTTTTGCCCATTGTTTGTGAAGAAGGATTATATTACCAAAATATGAAAGAAAAACTTACATAGTTCTTTTCCAAAGCATCAAAACAGCCCTGAATCCTGCCAGGAAATAAATGTTAGTAACTAGTCATGACAGTCTAGGAGCAGGAAATCCTCACTGATTAGATGGAGTTTAGAGTGCACATTTACAAGCATTAAGCAGTACAGAGCTGACAACATTTTTAGCTTTTAAAGCCCTCTGCAGGTCACTCAACAATTAAGGATCTCTTCTCCCCTCCATATGTGTGCACAGTTTATACACTAAGGCTCTGGTCCTGTGAACTTATTACCAGGCATCCTGGGACTACTCAAAACAGTAAACACTAGACTGGGTAATAATGGCCAGATCTTTGGACCCATTCTGTCCCTTTTGTGCTGATGGATCCAGCCAGCTGGGTGTTCCTTTGGCATAGCTGCGAGGAAGGCGGCATGGTTGGAGTGCTGCTGCAATCATAGAATCATAGAATATCAGGGTTGGAAGAGACCTCAGGAGGTATCTAGTCCAACCCCCTGTTCAAAGCAGGACCAATTCCCAACTAAATCATCCCAGCCAGGGCTTTGTCAAGCCTGACCTTAAAAATCTCTAAGGAAGGAAATTCCACCACCTCCCTAGGTAACGCATTCCAGTGCTTCACCACCCTCCTAGTGAAAAAGTTTTTCCTAATATGCAACCTAAACCTCCCCCACTGCAACTTGAGACCATTGCTCCTTGTTTTGTCATCTGGAACCACTGAGAACAGTCTAGATCCATCCTCTTTGGAACCCCCTTTTAGGAAGGCAGTTATCAAATCCCCCCTCATTCTTCTCTTCTGAAGACTAAACAATCCCAGTTCCCTCAGCCTCCCCTCATAAGTCATGTGCTCCAGTCAGGGCCGTCCCTAGCTATTCTGGGGCCCTACGCAGCCCCCCTGCGGGGGCGGGCCTCTGTGGGAGGGGAGCAGGGGGGCTGTCCCCAGGCCTCCGCGGGGGGAGCGGGAGGGCTGTCCCCAAGCTGCCGTGGGGGCGGGGCTGGCTTCAGGGGCAGAGGGGAACCACCCCCCAGCATTCACCGGCAGCACGGCTGGGACCGGGTCTGCACTTCCCACTGCCGGTGGGTGCAGGCCCGGCCATGCTGCGGAGCTCAGGAGAGTGGGGGCAGGGCTAGGGCGGAGCAGGGGTGGGAAGAGGCAGGGCTGGGCAGGGAAGGGGCAGGGCGGGGGGTGGGGGCGGAGCAGGGCAGGGGCCCTGGGGAAAAGCCTGAGCAGGGGCTGGAGCAGCACGCTGCTGTGCAGGGCACCAGGAAATTTGGTGCCCCAAATTTCCTGGTGCCCTACGCAGCTGCATACTTTGCGTGTGAGTAAGGACGACCCTGGCTCCAGCCCTCTAATCATTTTGTTGCCCTCTGCTGGACTCTTGCCAATTTTTCCACACCCTTCTTGTAGTGTGGGGCCCAAAACTGGACACAGTACTCCAGATGAGGCCTCACCAATGCCGAATAGAGGGGAATGATCATATCCCTCGATCTGCTGGCAATGCCCCTCCTTATACAGCCCAAAATGCTGTTAGCCTTCTTGGCAACAAGGGCACACTGTTGACTCATAGGGCACACTGTTGACTTTTTATGATCATAATTTTAGGCTGCTCTAAAGTATCCTGAGACAGTGCAGAACTGGCCCCAGGACTGGAGAACTGTATATGGCTCCTCTGCAGCCTCCTCATCTGTGCCTAGTGCTTACAGGACACAGCAGAGAACTGAGCCATGAATATTTGCAGGATTGGGCCCTTGCAGTAGTTAAGCAACACAGAAGTGCTACACTCCCTATAACAACTCCCTCTGCTGACAGTAAGGAGTAATGCCATTTTTCTGAAACCTGAAGAAGAGCTCTGTATAAGCTTGAAAGCTTGTCTCTCTCACCAACAGAAGTTGGTCCAATATTTCCTCACCCACCTTTCTCTCTATGTTTCTGAAATGCATTTATTAACTATAACTCCAGAAAGCTAAGGGCCTAGTTATGCCCCCAGAAACAGACACAACTTCCAGTGAAGAGAAAACAGCACATACTATTTAAAAATCAATCAAGCATAAACATCACTTTAAAAAACTAGAAATAGCAAATATGTAACCTATGGAAACAAGTAACCTCACAACTTTGTTTAGAGTGAGCCTCAATCCTCCCTTACCTGCTTTGTTTGTTCACTTGAGGGCCTGATCCCGCTCTCATTGGGGTCAATGAGATCACATTTACATTGGAAGCTCGTTGGAGAGGGACCATGTCTTTGTTATATAAAGTGCCAAGCACACACAGCTTTTATAATAAATCAATGGGAATTGCTTTGGCAAATCCAATAGCATTGGCCCTGAAGGATTTCAAATTTAGGAAGTAAAGGCGTGTAGTACAATGCCATATTGCTGTTCAGCATAATCTTATCATAGGACTTGTCTACACGAACAGTTAGACAGCGGAAATCTGAGATGTAAATCAACCCCACACTAGCTTTCTGCTGTTTAAGTGCCTGGGTGCACTCTGCTGACATGGGTTAACAGCTCTTTAATGCATCTTGAGCTAGTCCCATTTCAAAGAAGACAAGATCAAAGCGCTCCAGCAAACCGTCCATGTGTACCAGCAGGGTGCACATGGACAGTTGGAGTGCAGCAGACTAGTGCAGGATAGATTCATACCCCAGCTTGTTGTGGTCTAATTGTCCATGTAGGCAAGCCCTAAGTTTCACTGTTATTCACTTACCACTTGACTATCTGCAGTGACCCCAGGCAGCTTTTATCTTCCCGAAGGATTTTTAGACAGAGGTCTGCAAAACAAGAGTTAGCATATAGTTACAAAGCTTATTTGCAGCCACTGGGCAAACATTAAAATCTAGTCAGTCAGCAAGATATGAAGTATTTTATCTGGAAACACTTCTTGAGCTGGAAGATTGGTTTTAACAGCATCCCAGGTGGGCTGACACAGGCTCACACTGTAGTTTAAAATGCCAAAGACCTTTGCTGAGATACACTGAACTCTTCCAGGACAAAGTACTGGAGTTACAGATTTATTGAGTGTGGCTTCATTTAGAAATGCCAACAACTTCCTTTCCCCTCAATCCCCATTCTCATCTTATTCTGGCACTTCCCAACAGCACCTTTTAGTTCTGCACTCTAGTGTTCACTAACACACAAATAAGCTAAACAACTGTGCTCAAAATGAGCTAATGCTGTGACGTTTCCCCACCGGACTCCTTTGGCCCTTTTGTCCTCCGAGTTTAGGAGTTAGGATCCACAAGCAGAAAACTCCTAAAGTTGATGCCAATGCTGATATGCCAACCACAGAGGTTAATTAATGCCTTGGGGCCCAATCCTGCAGCTCTCACAGGATCTTAATATAAAGATGCGGATTAATCAAAGTTTCATCAGCTGGTGTTACCTTGCCACAAGTCTCACAATACCTTGTGTTTTTCTTAAAGCCTCATCTCTGAAGCCATCTGATTATGTGAAGTATCAGGGGGTAGCCTTGTTAGTCTGTATCCACAAAAACAACAAGGAGTCCAGTGGCACCTTAAAGACTAACAGATTTATTTGGGCATAAACTTTTGTGGGTAAAAAACCCACTTTTTCAGATGCATGGAGTGAAAATTACAGATGCAGGCATTATATACTGACACATGGAGAGCAGGGAGTTATCTCACAAGCGGAGAACCAGTGTTGACAGGGCCAATTCAATCAGGGTGGATGTAGTCCACTCCCGATAATTGATGAGGAGGTGTCAATTCCAGGAGAGGTAAAATTGCTTTTGTAGTGAGCCAGCCACTCCCAGTCCCTATTCAGACCCAAATTAATGGTGTTAAATTTGCAAATCAATTTTAGTTCTGCAGTTTCTCTTTGAAGTCTGTTTCTGAAGTTTTTTTGTTCAATGATAGTGACTTTTAAATCTGTTATAGAATGTCCAGGAAGACTGAATGTCCTCCTACTGGCTTTTGTATGTTACCAGTTCTGATGTCCGATTTGTGTCCATTTATTTGTTCACGTAGAGACTGTCCGGTTTGGCCAATGTACATGGCAAAGGGGCACTGCTGGCACATGATGGCATATATCACATGAGTGGATGTGCAGGTGAATGAGTCCCTGATGGTGTGGCTGATGTGGTTGGGTCCTCTGATGGTGTCGCTAGAAACTAGAAACTGCAGAACTAAAATTCATTTACAGATTTAACACCATTAATCTGGGCTTGAATAGGGACTGGGAGTGGCTGGCTCACTACAAAAGCAACTTTACCTCTCCTGGAATTGACACCTCCTCATCAATTATCGGGAGTGGACTACATCCACCCTGATTGAATTGGCCCTGTCAACACTGGTTCTCCACTTGTGAGGTAACTCCCTTTTCTTCATGTGTCAATATAATAATGCCTGCATCTGTAATTTTCACTCCACGCATCTGAAGAAGTGGTTTTTTTACCCACAAAAGCTTATGCCCAAATAAATCTGTTAATCTTTAAGGTGCCACCGGACTCCTTGTTGTTTTTGTGATTATGTGAGAATCTCAGCTTTCATTTACAAAATTTCCAGATTGTGGAGAAAAGCTTGAAAATCTGACCCCTAATGGCTCAAAAAAACAGAAGGCAACTATAAAAAAAACCCTGACATTTATTATAAAAATCCAATGATTTTTAAGCCAGTCTCGTGATTTTGGAGGAGCCTGATACATAGTTTTGGAATGCTTGGGATTGGCAATACTGATGAAATTGCTGAGTAATGAATGCAACTGGAAAAAAAAAAAAGCATTGTGAGAAACAGCTGATGGTTGCCACTAGCTCTAAGTTGTCTTTCTGCCATAAGAGCTTTTTCTGTATCAGGGCTGCCGGATAAGGCCCATAGGCTCACATCCTGAAAGATATTTAGGTGCCTAATTCCCATTGATTTCAATAGAAATCTGGCACCTACATACCTCTGAGGATTTGAGCCATGGTCAGCAGTCTTCCTACAAAAGACTGAACTTGTCAAATATGTGAACAGCACTGGACTAATCTGTACAGGGCAAAGATAATGCATAGAAACATGCATGTAGCATGCATTGAAAACATTACCATCTAAATAGCGAGTTCCATATGAGCTCTCTGGGAAGAGCCCTCTTAGGTACGTTATACAGGAGACAGAGATGGCCAAAAGCCTTTTCACCAGCACCATGGACTGCTGGTCAATGGCAATTTTGTGTGGAAACAACACTGATTCCTGAAAAAAAGACAAAGACAAAAATATTATTGGTTTTAGACCAATACGAAGGCCCAGAGCTAGAGGGGAGAATTAGCAGGTTTAGAGGGAGTCTTAATTAGGGTAATTTTGGTCTCCATAGTGTGTATGCCACTCACTTACACATTGGTAAACTAAGTATAAGTAGCTCAAGGAGCATCTAACACACTTGGCCCAAAGTTTACTGCTACACAAAAGCTTTTGGTGACAGTATTAATATATTGTCACACAGGCAGAGAACTATTGCCACAGTTCCACAGTTCCACAGGGCTGGTAGATGCGGTGTTACTGAATTCCAGTGACAAAACAGGGCTCTGAGGCCTACACACTGGAAAAGAAGCACTCTTCCAGAGGGGTTCTTCTCAACTCTTCAGCTATTTTGAGTCCAGAAGGCAGACGCAGCCTGCAGACAGGCTTCCAACAAAGCCAGAGGTTATATGCAGATCTGGTTTCTAAAAGAATGTGGGATTCTGCTTAGTAAGAGCTAAGCACTCATATACTTTTCCATGCCTAGGACTCTGTTTATTATGAATAAGGCTAAGATTTTGAAATGGGCAACAATCAAAAATTCATGTGGTCGTGACTTTTACTAAAAATAACCATACACGCCATGGCAGAGGCGCACAGCCCCAGCTGCAGCCCCCACTGCGGGGCAGGGGCACACGGCACCAGCAGCAGCCCCTGCCGCAAGCCATGAGGCAGAGGCACATGGCCCCAGCAGTGGCTCCCGCCAAAAGCTGCGGGGCAGGGGCGCACAGCCCCGGCGGCAGCTCCCACCGCGGGGCTATGTGGGGAGCATAGTCTGGCTCCAGCCACAGCTTTAGCTGCTGACAGCTGAAGAAGTCACGGAGGTCCAGTAAAGTCACGGAATCCATGACTGCCATGACCTCCGTGACTAAATCGTAGCCTTAATTATGAATACTAAACATCAAGTAGTGGTGATGATCTAGTGGTCCCTTCTGGTCTCCATAACACCTGGTATTAACATGCAAAATCTTTGTGAAAAGGAGTCCCGCTACCAGTTCATTGTCTTTTTCTCCTCTAGGGAGGCTCTGCATGCCCAAGGAGTTATACGTAGCCAAGCACCAGTATCCAGCACCTAGGCACCGATTCGCCTACAAATCCTCAGGCTGCGTAGCCAGCCTCTTCTTGGCTACCCTGGCCTGGAGACAGCTGCTTTCAAAACCCAACAAAGACACAGTATAATCAGCACTGAGCACACCGCCTGCCCTGGGAGCAAGGGATGGGAAGGGTAATCAAAGCCAGGTTTCCAGCTCTGCAGGGCTGAGTACTACTAGGCCAGCATGTTGATCAGTAACATTAAATCCTAAATCCTGTACCTTGGAGGTTTTATGCTTCTGTCCAGTATGTGAGAGCTGAGCCGTGGCCATAGCGCCTCAAAGTGCTGCCTTCCACATGCAACTAGAACCTGCAGAGAAATAAACATTAACCACTTGGCAAATACAGGATTCCTCGTATTTCTCATCTTCCTGAGCATAAGAACCAGACTGCATAAGAACTCTCTAGGTTTGAAAGCCGAGCTCTTGCCAAGACAGCTAAATGGTGTCAGACTGACGTCACTCTGTGCCACCGTTTGGAAGTTCACATGGCAGGAAGAACCCCTCAGTATCTATAAACAAACTGTCAATAGTACTGGAAATTCAGTGCCAGAGCCACAGCTGGAGGGAATTGTTGTGGCTCCAGAGACTTCAATGAAGCTAGGCCAATTTACATCAACTGAGGATCTGGCTCTCTATCTCTTTGATCTCTTTGATCCTCAGGCTGGTGCACAGAACAGTGCTAATGCTCAGAAATGCTGAGCCGACTCCCAGACAGCTGTTTTAACAATCCAAAGAGCATTGTGCTTTTAAAAGAGCACTGTCAAGCTGAAAGCAAAATATTAATCTTGACCCATTTTAAGTCTCTATCTGAAACATCCCAAACATTTTAAAAATAATAGTAATCCCCATTTATCTTCCATAGAAATAAAGGGATTTAATCCCCTTTTAAGTGAAAATTTTATCTGAGCCTTCCTACTGAGCCACTATAGCTGTCTTCATAATATAGCATTTTTCACTTTCAAAATTCTTGACAAACATTAACAAACTAAGCCTCATTTCATTCCCCAAAGGTAGAGCAGCATCATAGAATCACAGAACTGGAAAGGACCTCGAGAGATCATCTAGTCCAGGCCCCTGCACTCAAGGCAGGACTAAGTATTATCTAGAACATCCCTGACAGGTGTTTCTCCAACCTGCTCTTAAAAATCCCCAATGATGAAGATTCCACCAACCTCGCTAGGTAATTTATTCCAGTGCTTAACCACTCTAACAGTTAGGAAGTTTTTCCTAATGTCCAACCTAAATCACACTTGCTGCAATTTAAGCCCATTGTTTCTTGTCCTAGCTGCAGAGGTTAAGAAGAACAATTTTTCTCCCTCCTCCTTGTAACAACCTTTTATGTACTTGAAAACTGTTATGTCCCCTCTCAGTCTTCTCTTCTCCAGACTAAACAAATCCAATTTTTTCAATCTTCCCTCATAGGCCATGTTTTCTAGACCTTTAATCATTTTTGTTGCTCTTCCCTGGACTTTCTCCAATTTGTCCACATCTTTTGTTGAAATGTGGCGCCCAGAACTGGACACAATACTCCAGCTGAGGCCTAATCAGCATGGAGTAGAGCGGAAGAATTACTTCTCATGTCTTGCTTACAATACTCCTGCTAATAAATCCCAGAATGATGTTTGCTTTTTTTGCAACAACTTTACACTGTTGACTCATATTTAGCTTGTGATCCACTATGACTCCCAGATACCTTTCCGCAGTACTCCTTCCTAGGCAGTCATTTCCCATTTTGTATGTGTGCAACTGATTGTTCCTTCCTAAGTGGAGTACTTTGCATTTGTCCTTATTGAATTTCATCCTATTTACTTCAGACCATTTCTCTAGTTTGTCCAGATCATTTTGAATTTTAATCCTATCCTCCAAAGCACCTGCAACCCCTCTCAACTTGGTATCGTCCGCAAACTTTATTAAGTGTACTCTCTATGCCACTATCTAAATCATTGATGATGATATTGAACAGAACCAGACCCAGAACCAATCCCTGTGGGACCCTACTCGTTATGCCCTTCCAGCATGACTGTGAACCACTGATAACTACTCTCTGGGAATGATTTTCCAACCAGTTATGAACCCACCTTATAGTAGCTCCATCTAGATTGAATTTCCCTAGTTTGTTTATGAGAAGGTGATGCAAGACAGTATCAAAAGCCTTACTAAAGTCAAGATATACCACATCTATCGCTTTCCCCCATCCACAAGGCTTGTTACCCTGTCAAAGAAAGCAATCAGGTTGGTTTGACATGATTTGTTCTTGACAAATCCATGCTGACTGTTCTTTATCACCTTATTATCTGCTAGGTGTTTGCAAACTGATTGCTTAATTATTTGCTCCATTATTTTTCCGGGTACAGAAGCTAAGCTGACTGGTCTGTAATTCCCTGAGTTGTCCTTATTTCCATTTTATAGATGGGCACTATATTTGCCCTTTTCTAGTCTTCTGGAATGTCTCCCGTCTTCCATGACTTTTCAAAGATAATTGCTAATGGCTCAGATATCTGCTCAGTCAGCTCCTTGAGTATTCTAGGATGCATTTCATCACGCCCTAGTGATTTAAAGACATCTACCTTGTCTAAGTAATTTTTTACTTATTTTTTCCCTATTTTAGATTCTGATCCCACTTCATTTTCACTGGCATTCACTATTTTAGACATCCACCAAACTTCTTGGTGAAAACCGAAACAAAGAAGTCATTAAGTAACTCTGCCATTTCCACATTTTCTGTTATTGTTTTCCCCCCTCATTGAGTAACGGGCCTACTTTGTCCTTGGTCTTCCTCTTGCTTCTAATTTATTTGTAGAATGTTTTCTTGTTTCCTTTTATGTCCCTAGCTAGTTTGATCTCGTTTTGTGCCTTGGCTTTTCTAATTTTGTCCCTACATACTTGTATTATTTGTTTATATTCATCCTTTGTAATTTGACCACTTTTCCACTTTTTGTAGGACTCTTTTTTGATTTTAGATCATTGAAGATCTCCTGATTAAGCCAGGTGGTCTCTTGCCATACTTCCTATCTTTCCTAGGCACAGATTGTGCCTCAGTTTCCCTGAGCGGTTAAAGCCAACACCTTCCAACTTGGGGATGCCTACACTTACTCACCTAAGCCCATAATTAGATACCTAAGTAAGTGGGGAGCCTGATTCTGATCTCAGTTCACCATGAAAATCCAGAGTCACTCACTGTAATCAATAGTTATTCCCAATTTACACTGGTATAAATAAAATCAGAATCTGGCTCCTGATTTTTAGCTCACTTTAATTTACTGTGGAGATGTCGTAGGTGTCTCAAATTGAGACAGTAGTGGCTACTTTTGAAAAGTGACTTAGCCAGACCACATATGGAGTCAACTGTAGAGCCAGGATCAGAACCCAAGAGTTGCTTGGTCTTAGCCCTAGCATGTCACCACTTTTCAAAAGTTATCATTCCCAGCTCCAGCTATACAGAGGAAAAGGCACATGAGGATTTCTGTGAAATGCATGCTGGATCATATTGCCAATGGAACTACTCCTGATTACACCAGTAACGTGAGAGGAGAAGCCCAGTAAATGAGGCACATGCTCTTGGAGCACGGGCTCATGTAGATTTTCTTTTACAGCTGATAATTATTGGGCTTGGATAATCTGTGTAAAGTATGGGGCATAAAGGCACATGGCCAGATTCTGCTCTGTCACAACACTTGGCCCACAGGCAACACATATGTTGGGAGGGTTTGAAAAGGAGGAAGGGCTACTAGGCTCCCTCTTAACGCAGCAACGATTAACCATGTGTCCACGGAGAGCCTATGGAGGGGGGACAAAAGGGGCTCCAAGTAGAGCGCCCACCCAATGTAGGCGGGTGTGTGAGTGTGCGCAGAACACTGCCCCCTCACAGAGTGTGGTAGAGTGGGACAGGTGGGGCTCTAAGGGTAGGGTGACCATCCGTCCCGTTTTTAAAGGGACAGTCCTGTTTTTTGGGACTTTTTCTTATATAGGCACCTATTACCCACCCCCACCCCTGTCCCATTTTTTCCACAGTTGCTATCTGCAGGGCCGGCTCCGGGCACCAGCTTCTCAAGCAGGTGCTTGGGGTGGCTGCTCCGGAGAGGGGCGGCACGTCCAGGTATTCGGCGGCAATTCGGCGGACGGTCCCTCACTGCGCCTGGGAGCGAAGGACCTCCCGCCGAATTGCAGCCGCAGATCGCGATCGCGGCTTTTTCTTTGTTTGTTTGTTTTGTTTGTGTTTTGGCTGCTTGGGGCGGCCAAAACCCTGGAGCCGGCCCTGGCTATCTGCTCACCCTATCTAAGGGGGGATATGATATCCCCCTCTCTGGGTGTGTGTGGGGGCACACAGGGATCAGGGCATATCACCCCCTCAGGGGGGGGGGGGAGGAGCCGATGGGGATCTGGGGGATACCGCCCCCTCAGGGTGTTTGCGGGGGTCTCGATGGACCGGGCCCTTCCCGCTGCCGGTACCTCACCAAGGAGGGACTCCGGAAGCCAGGCGCCACCGCGGGACCGAGCGAGCGAGAACGGAGCCCGCGCGCACATTGACTACTCTGCCGAGCCCGCCTGCTCAAGCGCCTGCCTCGCCACAGCGGCCCCGCCCCCTGCTCAGGCCGGGCCGGCCCAGGCCCCGCCCCCTAGAGCCCCGTGCTCAGACCGCTTCCCCATCCCCCCCAACCCCCCGTGCTCAGACCTCGCCCCCCCAGCGCTCTGTGCTCAGACCCCCCCCGAGACCAGTGCTCAGACCCCCCCCGAGACCAGTGCTCAGACC